AAATATTTTTTACACTTATGTATTTAGTATTGAGAGAGAGAGAGAGCGAGAGCGAGAGAGAGAGAGAGAGAGAGAGAGAGAGAGAGAGAGAGAGAGGATGTTACTAGATATAGGACCTGGAACAGAGAACCATATGTCTGTCTCTGAACTTACTCTATAGCCCAGGCAGCCTTGAACTTTTAATCTTTCTACCTCAACTTCCCTAAGTAGCTAGAATTACAGACCTGTACCACCTGGTCTGCCTGTTTTTGACAAAAGTGAAATGTTTAAAATAATTGAAGGCACTAGGAATATAGCTCAATGATAGAGCACTTGCCTAGGATATACAAGGCCTGAGTTTGATCCACAGTACCACATAAATAAAAACATAAGAAAACAAATAATGTTAAGTTGAACTGTAGTCTGTTGTTGTAAATTTGAACAAACACCTGACATACTACATTAAAATTTTTATTACGTGTGTGGGAGAGAGAGCTTATTCTTTTTTTCAGATTTTTTATTTGAGTTAGAAACAAGATTGTTTTACATGACAGTCCCTGTTCCCTCTCCCTCCCGTCCTCCCCTACCGCCCCCTACATATCTTTTCTGCTCCCCCCTGGATGGTGAGGCCTTCCATAGGGTGTCATCAGAGTCTATCATATCCTTTGGGATAGGGCCTAGGCCCACCCCAGTGTGTCTTGGCTCAGGGAGTATTCCTCTATGCGGAATGGGCTCCCAAAGTCCACATGCCTTTAGAGCCAGCACTTGGGAGACAGAGGCAGGTGGATCTCTGTGAGTTCAAGGCCAGCCTGGCCTTCAAATCAAATATCAGGACAGACTCCAAAGAAAAACCCTGTCTCAAAAAACCAAAAAGAAAGGGGGGCGGGGGTGGGGGCGGGGCTGGATGGAGAGATGGCTGAGCCCTTAAGAGGACAAACTGCTCTTCTAGAGGACCCAGTTTCAATTCCCAGAACCCACATGGCAGCTCACAGCTGTCTATAGATCTGACACCCTCACACAGACATACATGCAGGCAAAACACCAGTACACATAGCTCTCAAGTTCTTGCTTTTTTTTGTATCCCATAAATCGGGTCAGGACTGTGAAAGGTGGTTCCAGATCTGGACAGAAAGTTTCCCAATGAGTCTTGGGACATTATTCCACTCCAGACAGCAAGGAAGCTATCAGGCTTCCAGGATAGTGTTGATGGGGCTGGAGAACCAACCTGGAGAGGTTTCCACCGGCCAGCAATGAACAATTTGAACTTCATTATCACCTGAAGCACATCCACACCTAAACGTGTGCATTCTTTAGATTTATTTCGTATGTGTGTATTTAGCGTGTGGGGGTGCATACCAAGTACGTGGAGGTTGGAAGTTGGTTCTCTCCTTCCACCGAGGGGTTTCTGGGGTAAAATTTCTAGCACTGGAGAGGAGGAGGAAGGAGGATCAGAGGTTCAAGGTAGTGCTCACCATGGATTTAGTGGCCTTTGTTTTGATTAATCTGAGTGAATGTGTGGTGTACCTATATCCAGGGTGCCCCCAGAAACAAAGACTGCACCCTATATCCTGAGTCCCAGAGACTGAGTCCTCAGGCTTTTGGGGGGCACCATGGCCTTTGCACGTTTGTGTTCAACACACGACACTGGCCTTCTCTACTTCTTTACAAGCGAAAACTACCCAAACAACTAATGTTTTTGTCTATTTTCTATTCCACACTTCTCTGCTTTGTGGTTTTTCTTTTCTCTGCACTCTCTCAAAATTCACTCCTTTGGAAAAACAGTCAATCAATCTATGGCTTGTGAGATGGCTCAGTGGATAAAGTACTTGCTGCACAAACCAAGTGACCTACCTTTCATCCCCAGAATCCACATAGTGATAGAAGAATCAGACTCCTCAAAGCTGGTCTCTGACCTGTGCTGTGTATATGGCATAAGCACAGAGAGATAAACTATAAACAGGTAGATAGCTAAATAAGCTAATAATTTGTGCTGTGTGTGGTGGCGTTGTCTATAATCCTAGTACTCAGGAGGCAGAGGCAGATAGAGGCAGGCAGATCTCTTTGAGATAAAGGCCAGCCTTGTTGTGTGCACAGTAAGTTCCAGGCCAGCCAAGGCTACACAGTTGAGACCCTGCCTCAAAAGTACCCCTTTTTGATGATAGGAAATGAATAAACTTAAGATAAACTTTGGTAATGTGTAACATGAAAAATCAAAAAAAAAAAAATTAGTGTGCTTGCCATGCATATAATCCCAGCATTTAAGAGACTGAGCCAAGAGAATTGTCAAAAGTTTGAGGCCACCTTGAATGGCACAGTGAGTTCCAGACCAGCCTGGGGTACATAGCAAGACCCCATTTCACAAAACAGGCTGAGATGCTCAGAGGATTAGAAAGGCATCTGCCACTGGGCAGTGGTGGTGCACGCTTTCAATCCCAGTACTCAGGAGGCAGAGGGAGGCGGATCTCTGTGAGTTCAAGTCCAGCCTGGTCTACTGAGTGATTTCTAGGAAGGCCAAGGCTACACAGAGAAACCCTGTCTCAAACACTCACCCCCAAAAAAGAAAGAAAGAAAGGCAGCTGTCACCTGCCACCAAGCCTGAGGGTCTATTTGATCGCCAGGACCCATATGGTGAAAGAAAGAACTGAACTAACTCTGACAAGTTGTCCTCTGACCTCCGAGTGACTGTAGCATGCTCCCACACAGATGTGTATATGTGAACAGGCTTTTAAGATGTAGAAATCTGCATGGGAGGAGCCTGAACACAAAAGTAAAGAGCACATTTGTGTCAGTGTCCTATGTATCACCTTTGTTTTCTTGACTTTTTTTTCTGGAGTATTGGATGGAAACCAGGGTCTCCAGCATGCTGGGTAGGCGCTGTAGCACTGAGCTGTACTCCTGCGGATCTCCCCCTTTTGAAACAAAGTTTCACTGCCTAACCCTGGCTGGTCCAGTACTCCCTGTGTAAATAAAGCTCTTTTTTTTTTTTTTCTTTTGAGAAAAAGGTCTACGCAGTCCTTGCTGTCCCGGAGCTTGCTATGTAGACTAGACTACACTGGCTGGATCTCATGAGATCCTCCTGCCTCTGCCTCCTGAGTGCTGGGATTAAAGGCTTGTGTACTGCCAAGCCAACTTTATTTTTAATTATGTGTATCTCTTTGCAGGTATGTGCACAAGTGGATACAGTTTCCAGAACAGGGTGTAGTCTCCCAAGGTTGGAGTTACAGTTGTGTGAGCTACTCCATGTGGGTGCTGGTTACTGAGCTCTGGTCCTCTGCAAGAGCAGTATGGACTCTTAACTGCTGGGCCATCCATCGCTCCTGCGTGCAGGCATCTTTTTTTCAGAGGTCTTCAGCAACTCAGGATGGTTTCAAGCTCAGCATGTAGGGGAGGATGACCTTTAATTTCTGATCCTATGAGTGCTGGGATTACTGGTAGGTGTGGTGGAGTTAGGGATCAAGCTTAGGGCTTCCTGCATGCTAAAGAGCACTCTACTGAGTTGCCTCCCCAGCCCTTACTTTTCAGTAAGTGGTATCCATCTTTAAGTTATGTGTCACTTTTTAAAAGTGGTACATGCGAGGATCAATGATGGCCGTGAGCCATTAATCAGAGATCATAATTCATTCTGTCGCCTTGAAGTCCGCCCCCACAAAACAGCAAACTGCCTTTTCTAATCTTTGCCAAGTGAGAAACTGAAATGAGTAGGAGGGGCGGTAACTATTTTCACTTTTGTCTTCCTGTTTTTTTCAGAGCCTGGGAAAGCAAGTCAGAATTTCCAATCTTTTCCAATTCCCTCATGATTTCCTAATTTAGAATGACTTCAGAGAAAATAAGTCTTTCTCCATGTGCTGAAGCCTTTTTATTCTGGCACTGGGAAACAGCCTAAGTGGAGAGCACTCTAGCCCAGGCCCCCACCCTCAACCAGCACGCCTAGGTGCAATTTTCGCACCCTGAAAACGCTGTTATCACTGAAGCCTGGGCCCAAGTGGGAAGCCTTCAGGAGATGTGCAAGCAAGATGTGACCCCGGCTGCTTCTGCAGATGCCTAAGGGTCTAGACTTTAGCAGAAAGCACCTATCTGCAGAGATGAAGCCGTGGGGTTTGACCCTGGGCGTCTTCCAGCACGCACTGCCCTCCGGGACTCTTAGATCAAGTCCTCAGAGAGAGGCACAGGTGTCCAGCCTTCGGCCTCTCTCTCTCCCTCTCTCCCCACGGCCTCAGTGAAGCAGGCTCCACGGAGCATGGCTCCCCGACTCCTGCGAGTGCAGCTGGATCTAGGATGAGGAGGAGATGGCCTATAACGCGCCGCGGTCCCCAGCAGGCCTGGCACGCTGAGGAAAGCGTGTGGAATTCAGTCACCGGCCTCTGCGGGCGCAGCAGGCCTGGGCCTCTCCCTGAGCGCGGGGAACGGCCGCA